CAGGATGAGCGCAGGGCGGCCAGGGCTGGGAGAGCTGATCAGCGTGGCGGCCCTCCTGCTCCTGGACGCGTAGAAGGGCGGAACGAGGGTGTCCCGCCCGTCGGTCTCGAACCCCGACGCCTCCGCCAGCATCGCCCGCGCCGAGCTGAAGGATCCGCCCATGTTACGGTAAGCACGGCGAGCCCCTGCTTCGATCTCGGCGGGCAGAGCGTCCCCTCCCTCGAGGGTCGCCCAGTCAAAGGGCGGGCGCGGCTCGGCGCGCGCAGCTGCGGCCGATTCGGCGAGCTCGGAACGAGCTGCCGAGGACGTGAGGCCCGAATGATGTGGAACGGGCACCACCTCCGCGAAGGCGTCGAGGATCTCGGACGGAGGGGAATGCGATCCCCACAGCGCTGCTGGGATGGCGCCGCGACCGTCCTGCACGTGGTACAGAAGGTCGAAAAGGCAGGCCAACTTGCCCGCGCGCCTCCTGTGCTCGATCTTTGAGCCGAGCCCGATGCCACGGATGGCGCCCGCCCCCATGGCTTGGAGGTCAGCGCCCGCGGGGATAGCCTCGGGCTCGACGGCGGCCACGTAAGGATGCAACCACGAGGCTTCGTCGATCGGCTCGGCGCCGCCTGTCTGAAACAGGCGCTTATAGGCGTGCAAGGCCCGCAGGAGGCAGTGCAGGTCATCTCTGCCCTCGGGCTCGGCGGCCCCTGCGGGTGCGAAAGACCTCAGCCACGACGCCGCGCTCTGGAAGGCAGCTTGCCAGGCGGGTCCCCACCTCACCACTGTGACCTTCTCACCGCCGAGGTTGAGACGCCACGCTAGGGCGGTGGCGGCCCCTGGAGGCAAGGGCTGCTCAACGGCCGCAGAGGCCGTGCGCCGCGCTGCGAAGGCTGCAGCCGCGGCGCTCCCAGCGTCACCGCTGTGGGAGCCGCTGAGATGCAGCTCGTGCTCTGAAGCTCGGCCAGGCGCGGGGCCGCTCGAAGACCCCCTTTCCTCGGCGGCACGCCCTCCGCCCTGCGGGGCCGCAACAGCATCGCTGGAGGAGCGCGTGCCTACCGAAGACGGAGGGGCCTGAGCAGCGGAGTCCGCGCGGGAGCTGCCTGCGTGGGCGTCGCCCGAGCTCGCACCATGGCGGGACGTGGCTGGCCGCTGCGCAGCAGCGGGGCTCGGGCGCCGCTTCGGAGCGACTCGAGGGGAGCGCACCTCGCGACGCCCAGGCGACGTCGCCTGACGCGAAGGCGCGCGAGAGGAGTCGCGCGCGACGGCCCGACTAAGCCCCTGGCCTGCGGCCGACGCGCGGGATCGCGACGCCGCACGCCCACCAGAGTGGTGAGGGGGCGGCGGCGGCGGCGGGGGCACGGGCCGCGGCGTCTCGGAGCCTGCACGCGTGCCGCGGCCCCGAGAGCGGCTGCGAGCCGAGGCGTGAGCGGCGGGCGGCGAGGCCCCCGAGCGGCGAGGGAAGGCCGCCTGCAGGCGGAGGAGGACCTCGGGGTTCAGGCCCGCCACGACGCGCTCGAGGTCCACCGAGGAGTCAGCGAGAGCACTCAGCACGACGTCCTCGAGCTCCGTCGGAGAGTCCTCGTCGCACGCGGGCTCCGCTCTCGAGCGGCTGCGAACGCTCGCGGGCGGGGACCCGTCAGGAGTGTGCGGGCCCTCCGATGCCTCCCCCGCCGGCGGCTCCGACGGCTCCTCGGGCGAGATCGGGCCGTCGACGGGAGGCGACGAGCAGCCCCCCGAGGGAGAGGTGTGGTCAGTCCCGTACGGGTTTGGAGACCGCGTGCGGCTGCGGGCAGGGCTGCGGCTCCGCGGTGGGGAGCCCACTCCCGCGGCGGAGCTGGGGCGTGCCGCGCCTGCCCAGCGGCGCGCATTGGCAGTGCGACGCGCCCTGCGGCCAGGCGCCGTGGCGGCCCCCCCCTCAGGGGCGGGGAGCGCCGCCATCGAAGCCCGCCGCTGCCTGGCGGCGCGCCTGGTGCGCGCGGCGCCCGTGCGCGAGGCGGAGTGCGGCGCGTGACCACCGCGGTTGGGCTGGTCCTCGACCGCTTCATCCCGCGGGCCCAGGCGGGCGCGGACCGCGCGCCCCTCACGACGGCTGAAGCTGGACGCAGGGTCGTCGGCGGGCCTTGCCAAGGCGCGCGGGTCCTCACCCTCCACTTCGGCCAAGGAGCGGCCAGTGGACGACGCGGGTGCGTCCCCAGCACGCGCGGCACGTTCTGCGTTGGCGATGCCCGTCGAGACCTCAGCGTTGTGCAGGACGGCGCGCAGAGTTTTGCGCCAATCCCGACCCAGCTGGACGGGGGCTGTGCGCGGCAAGCCCGCGGCCTCTCGACTGGCGGCCTCACGCAAGCGTCGGAAGTAGGCGCGATCGGCCATCCCTTCCGCGAGCTCGGCACGAGCGACGGCACGCTCGCCTTCGCCGCGTGCAGGAGCCTGCACCGTGCGCCTGGTGGCGTCGGCACGCGCGGTGCGGAGCGCGTCGAGCTCCACGCGGCCGCGCGACACGGCGGAGACG